GGATCCCTCGATGCTATGTTGAGACTTGCCTTTGGGGTGGCAAGAGTAGCATCATAGAGATGGAAGCAGCTCCTGCAGGTGCATCAAGCACAAGATGAAGATGCTCCTACAGCAGTCACAGCAGTGGGGGTTGTGGGAAGGGCCTGGATTAGGGCACATTTAGAAGGAAGACCATTAGACTCCCCAGTGGCTGGGTGTGGAACGTGAGAAAATGAGAGCAGTCAACAATAGCTCCAAAAGACTCAGCCTAACCAACGGGAGCAATAGAGTCAGGAGAAGTTTCAGGTGGAAAAGGTTTTACAGGTGTTCTAGTGACCTAGTGCTGCTCTGACAAGAATATACCACAAATGGGATGGCCTTAAACAGGAGTTTATTCTTACAATTTGGAGGCTTTAAGTCCAAGTTCAAAATGCCAGGCTCTAGGGGCTGTGTGAAAGCCCCTCAACCTTGGGGTCCAGCTCTGCCTCCTGCTCCCAGCCCACTGGAGCTAGAGGCGTTTCTTCACTCAGACAGCTGCTGGCTGCTGAGGCTGAGAAGCCCCAAGGTTGACAAGTCAAAAGGCATAGTCCCGAAGTTACCAAACCACACAGCAGGCCATTAACTTAAGTCCATTGTAAGTCCCAAGGTCGGCAGAGCATAGCAGGCTGCTGCGTAATGATACGGCTACATGCAGGGTCCAAGTGTGCCATGGGCTAGAGACCATTCCCAAGGCTGCTGCTTATATATGGGAAGCAGACCACATACCCAAAGGCAGCTACTCAGCTGCTTGTGGTAGATCCCACCATGGAGTTGATTGCCAGTCTCATCATGGGTAATAACTACCACCAGCTGCCCAGCCCCTCAACCAGGCCTAGCCAAGTTGACACACAAACATAACCATCACAACAGGGAAGATCAAGAGTTTAGACATTTTTCTTTTCATCATGATCAATATTTTAAATCGAGATATAATTCACAAGCCATAAAATTCACCCTTTTAAAACATACAATTCAGTGATTTTTATAATATTCACAAGAGTGTACAACTATCTAACTACTATCTAATTCCAGAACATTCTCAGCAGTACTCCCAAAAAACGAGCCCATAACTATTAGCAGTCATTCCTCCATTGTCCCCTCTCCCCTGCCCCTGGTATCTACTTTCTGTCCCTATAAATTTGCCTACTGTGGACATGTTGTATCAATGGAATCATACAGTATGGGGCCCTTCATATCTGACTTTGTTTACTTAGCAAGTTTTCAAAATACATCATAGCATGTCTCAGTATTCCATCTCGTTTTGTAGCTTGTAATAATCCGTTGTTAGAGATACCATATTTTGTTTACCCACTCATCAGTTGATGAACATTGGGTTGTTTCCATTTCTTGGCTATTATGACTAATGCTGCTGTGAACATTTGTGTACAAGTTTTTGTGTGAACATGTGTTTGCAATTCTCTTGAGTAACACCTAGGAGAGGAATCCCTGGGTGATGTGGTGACTCTGTGTTTAACTTCTTGAGGAATTGCCAAATTGTGAATGGCAGCACCATTTCACATTCTCACCAGCAATGTATGGAAGTTCCAATTTCTTCAGATCTTCATCAAGATCTTGCTATTGTCCATGTTTTTTATTATAGCCATCTTAGGTGATGTGAAGTGGCATTTCATTGTGGTTTTGATTCGCATTTCCCTACTGGCTAATGGAGAAGAACGTGGCATTGTGATTGGAGGAACACTTACTAACAACCTGCCACAGGCAGATGACACAATCTTGCTTGCTGAAAGTGAAGAAAACTTGAAGGACTTAAGTGATGAAGATCAAAGACTACAGCCTTTAGTATGGATTACATCTCAACATAAAGAAAAAAAAATTCCTCACAACTGGACCAATAAGCAACATTAAGTGGAGAAAAGATTAAAGTTGTCAGGAATTTCATCTTTCTTGAATCCACAAGCAATGCTCATGGAAGCAGCAGTCAAGAAATCAAATGATATATTGCCTTGAGCAAATCTGCTGTAAAAGACCTCTTTAGTGTCAAAGAGCAAAGATGGTACTTGAAGACTAAGGTGCACCTAAGCCAAGACATTTTATTTTCAATAGCCTCATATGCACGTGAGAGCTAGACAATGAATAAAGAAGACTGCCAAAGAATTGATGCATTTGAATTGTGTTGGTGAAGAATACTGACTGCACCATGGACTGCTAGAAGAAAGCCTCATTGAGAAGAAATCCTGCTGAGAAAGAAAGCTTCATTGGAGTGGGTTCAGGAGAGAGTGGGGAAAGGGGAAGTGGAGACGGCAACCATGGATCTCTCCCAAGGGGTTTTGTGGCAGATGGTAGGTAGAGGAAGAAGTGAGGCCGACAGTGCTTTTTGTTTTGTTTTTAAGATGTAAGAAACAGCATTATGTTTGTATCAAAGGAGTGATCCGTTGTTATTGTTGTTAGGTGCCATCAAGTCGGTTTTGACTCATAGTGACCCTATGTGCCACAGAGTGAAACACTGCCCAGGCTGTGTCAACCTCACAATCATTGCTACGCCTGAGCCCATAGTTGCAGCCACTGCATCAATCCATCTCGATGAGGGCCTTCCCCTTCTTCGCTGACTCTGCTCTACCGAGCCTGGTATCCTTCTTCAAGGACTGGTCACTTCTGATAACATGACCAAAGTTCAAGAGTCAGAATCTGACCATTCCTGCAGGAGTGAGCTAGTGAGGGCAAAAAAAAGTAATGATGTAAGAGAGGGAGAAGGATTGCTGGTGCCACATCCGTCGGTTAGGGGAGGGGGACAAGACTGATGCCCAAGTGGAAGGATAGCCTTTGATGGGATACAGACAGTTGCTCTAGAGGGGCGTGGGGGATGGTGGACAGGTGGCAGTCTGTGTTTTCAAGGACAGGAGGAGGTAATGACTGCCTGAGCCTGAGGCTGAGGAGAGAGGTGGTGGGAGTCGGTTGAGGAGAAGAGAATGAAATGAGGATCTAGGGAAGGGAGAGCAAGTGGAGTCAGGAGGAGGGAAAGATAGTAGAGTCCGGTCAGCATCAAGGGCGCTCTTGAGGTCTGTGGTCTTGACTTTGAGCTGAGTTCTCAAGAAAGCCTTTCAGCCCCCAGACTAGGTCATTCCCCATTATAGGCCTGACATGCTACACTTACCACTATAGAGAGAAGTATCGACTGTGTTTTTCAGTTCTTCAATCTCTGTATCCGTAATGACGTGACCAGAGACTGTCTGGTTCATCGCTGTGTCTCAGCGCCCAGCTCCTCTTGCCCAGTTGACTCTCAAGACACAATTATTAAATGGTTGAATAAATGAATGAAGCAATGAATGAAAAAAATCCTTGCCGCGGCATGGGTGTTTTACGGTCAGGTTTCTGAAGCCTCCTCCTCCTCCTCCTCCCTCCCTCATATGCCCCTCTCCACCCCTGGGGGACTACGGCCCCTTAATCCCACTTGGAGCTCTCCTGCAGGCGGACCCTGTGCCTTTAAAAGCCGGCATAAGCCGAGCCGGGCGGCGATTGGTGGTTTATTCTAACCGCTAGAAGATGAGCTCATCTACAGCCAATGGCAGACGTTGCACCCGGCTAGAACCCTGCACCAGGCTGAAAGGGGAAAGCAGCCGCAGGTGCCCGGTCGCCCGCCGGCGGGGTGAAGGGGAGGAAGCAGCAGGGGTTGGTCTGGCCTGCGCGGACCGAGCTTCGAGCTCGGGCAGGTACGGTGTTTGCCCGCCTCCTCCTCCATCCTCTTCCCTGGCCTAGGATCCCTCGCCTTTGCTACCCGCAGCCCGGCCCCGCGAACTGTTCCCCTTGTTCACCCAGAATCGTGGGCTGGAAGCGCCTCTGTCCGGGTCCAGGCGAGACCATGCGTCTCTTTCGGTAGGACCCACCCTGTAGGGTGGCCCCTGAGCTCGGGCAGCCCGGCCCATGGCAGCCGGCCTGGCGCCCCCCAGAGCACAGGCCCCAGAGCAGCACATCCCCCTGAGCTGGGGTGGAGCAGAGTGCCATCTTCCTCCCCCCCCCCTCCTGGTTGCATCCTGGCCACGGTCCAGCTCTCTCACGCCTTGGGGATCCCCGCCCCTGAGGCTGGTCCTGTTCTCCTCCCTTTCCACAAAAGGCAGAAATGGCCCGGGGTTGGGAGTTGGAGCCCTGCTCCTTCCCAGTGGGGCTGAGAGAGAAAAGGTGTGAGCTCCTGCCTGGGGGCTCTGCTGGCCTTTTGCAGCCCTTCCCTTCCTGCAGCCATTGCTCTTGTCCATTTGACTGCCCAGCCACACACTGCTTAGGGAGGAGCTGGTGTCAGGGCCTCAGCTTGGAACTTCTCAGAGGCACCAGGAGGACAGAGCCAGCCCCTCTCTGGGCTGGGTCGACAACCCCCCCACACACACCAGCCCTAGACTAACTCCCTCTCCTTAGTAGGGCCTTATCTACCAGTCAGTCATTTCATGTGCCCACAGGCTTTAAGGCCCAGCTCTGTGCTCAGTGTTCTGCCGGCCTCTGTGTGCGTGTGTGTGTGTGCGCGCGCGCGCGTGTGTGTGTGTGTGTGTGTGTGTGTGTGTGTGTGTTGGGGGGGGCGGGGTTGTCACTCACTGACCACAGGCTTCAGACCTCAGAATGAAGCAGAATGAAGTAAAGCAGAGCTGTCTACTGTCCAGTGAGGTCCCATCTAAGCTGACCCTGGTGGGACAAATGAGATTCCCAGAGGAGCAGGGAGGGGAGATGTAGGGTGTAGGGGCTTTGAGCCTAGGGCCCTTTCCTCAGCCTAGACACAGTTCTTAATCAGGAATATCCCCAGCTCTTACCAGTGCTCCGCACATAGTAGGTGCTCAAGAAATGCTTGTCACACTGAATTTGGACAGCTTTGCTGAGGTAATAGGGAAGGGACCTTCCACCTTAGCTCTCATTCCTGCAGCTCTTGGGCTTATTAGTCTCCACAACATTCAGTGGAAGAAATAGGGATCAGATAGGGGTGTCACTGCTAGCTGGGCCTCCCAATGTCTCTGCCCATTCCAGGTCCCAGCCTCAGGGCAGCCATGAGCCTGGTGGCCTGCGAGTGCTCACCTGGCTCTGGCCTGGAGCCTGAGCCCTGCTCCCGAGCCCGGTCCCAGGCTCGCAGGTACCTGGAGCAGATTCGTAACCGGGTGGCCCCAGGGGTGTCTGACATGACCAAGCGCGACTACCTGGTGGATGCAGCCACGCAAATCCAGCTGGCCCTGGAGCGTGATGTCAGTGAGGACTACGAGGCGGCCTTCAACCACTACCAGAACGGCGTGGATGTACTGCTGCGTGGCATGCACGGTGCGGTGGGCTGGGCAGGCTGGACGGGCAGGCGAGCTGGGGCAGGGCGGGCCTTGCAGGTCCATCTTCACTGGGTGAGCCCTGCAGGGCCTCTGTGACAGACAGTAATAATAGCCAACATTTATTAAGCAGCTACTATATGCCAGGGGTTCCCACCAGCCACTCCTCGGAAGGAAGGTTGGGCAATCCTACTTCCGTAGTGATACTGCCTCGGAAACCCAAGGAGGGGTCGCTATGAGT